GCCGCCGCCCCCCTGATCAGTTCAGTGCAGAAGCTGGTGCTGTACGAGACCAGGGCTGTAAGTAGCGTCTGCCCCCCCCACCGCCGCTACCGGGGGCCGGGGAGGAGCCCCGCCTGACGGCCCCCGCGCTGGGGCAGAGCGGGGGGGGATGTCCCTGCTCCCCCGTCGTGGGGCTGCTGCCTCGGCTGGCCTGCAGCTTGTCAAAAAACCCTTCGTGAACTTTCTCTTGTTGTTGGTTTAGGTTTTTTGGTTGGTTTTTTTTTTTGGTCACGCATCCAAAACATACCAATAACTAAAAAAAGTCTTTAAAATTCTAGTCTTCCCCGTGTCTCTGCCTTGTGACTTAAACAAAGAACTGGTTTCTAACCTAAGCCTGGGGTCTGTAAGCTCGGGCCCCTGCGCTGCCAGGCGGCGGGGGTGGCGGCTGGGGCGAGGGGGGGTGAAGTTTAGGCCCCACGTTGCTTTTGGTGTTTGCGCAGCTACCTGCTTGTTTTGTTGTGTGGTTGCTGTCACTCAGCCCGGCTAATGGTGCTGACTCGTATACTGCGCATTAAAACTGGACAGCTGAAGTTGTCTGCAATTAAAGATTTAAGATTTGAATTAAGAATTTAAACAGGGCGGCTGTAGTGGTTATCGCCCACACCTGTCTCTCTGCTAGTTCTGAGAGATTCCAGGGCTTGTTGTCTGAATGGCTTGTGGAACAACTTCCAGAGTTTTCAGCCTCGCCTCTGGAAGTCAGCCGTTGAAGATTTTTAGCATTCCTTAATATTCCGTTGCAGAAACTGGAGAGATGTGTTATTCACAGAACTTTTTGCTGTGGGCAAAGTGGATTGGAGGTTTGAGTGATAATTGCTTCTTTAGCCATGTGATGAGCACCATGTGTGAGTCAGAATCTGAGTCTTACTGTAAATAACCTGAGATAATACCACTGTGTTTATCATCCTTTAGCTCCCAATCACATTTCTTTGTGTAGTTTCTCTTGTTTCATGGTATGGGTTTTTTTTTCACTTGAGGTAGTTTTGGATAGAGTTAGGTACCGTGGCTTTAAATGGAACAGTTAGCTCTAGTGCTAAGTTCAGCTGTTACCTGCTGTGATAAAGATAGTTTATACACTGAAGTCAGCGTAGCCTCTTGAAAGTTTACCAAAATGGCTCATGTAGGCTGAAAGGAATGCAATTTGGCCTGCGCAAGTGGTCCCAACGCAAAGAAGAATCTGACTTGCAGCTTTGGTTCTGTCAGAAGTAGGTTTGTGCTTTTTGTGCTAATTCCCCATTAAACAGCCTGTGAAACAGAGGAGGAAGATTAAAGCATACAGAATTATTGGTACCGGTAAATGAAAAACATTGAGGTTACCCTTGCTTTCCAGAACGTTATTTTCTTTCCTATGCCTAAAGGCATTTTGATGGCTGTCTTAATCATCTTACTCAGCATTGCTAGAAAACACTTGTTTTATTTTCAGCTAAATTGTTGCTATATGGGGGGAGGGCAATGGGGAAATGAGTTTCCCAAGTCAGGTCCTGAGTTACTGCATTTAGTTGTTCTTGGCTCACAATTCATGCTACTTTTCAGATAGCTGAGATTTGTTTTTTTTGTGATTGGCATGCATGGATATCTGGCTTCTCTCTGAGCTTTAAGGCTCAGTTGCTGAGAGACAACCTGCTATTTACAGAGACAACGTTACGCTTTAGGGTTCTGTCAGCTAGCTACAATTCTCTAGGCCTTTCAAGTTGATCCTGTTAGTTCAGGAACCACAGCTTTTCACATCTGGCTAGTGGTAGCTGGCAGTATCTGCCCGAGTGGGTGGGTTTGCCCATGCTTTGCTGTGTTCAGCATTCAGTCGGGGCAGATCCAGCAGTCCTGATTGCTTCAGGAGGCAAGATGGTTTTGATCAGCTATGAAAGGCACCGGTTTGTGGATCAGCATGTGCCACTTGAAATGTCTTAGCTAAGTAATGGTGTCTCAAAGCTGTTTCTTCAGTCGCTTCTTGTGGGTGATGAAAATGGAGTATTTTTCCTGAATGTGGTTATGTTCTTACTTAAAAAATGAAGAAGTGCGAATTACAGTGCTTTGAGTTCTGATATTCAAATTCTAGTCCTTTTTTCAAAAGGAAAAATGCTATAGGAATCATTTTGATGTAATTATTTGAAAAGGTTTGATGCACTTAATAAACTCACAGACTAATGTGGGTTAGAAGGGACTTCTGGAGATCATCTGGTCCAGCCCCCTGCTCAAAGCAGCTTCAACAAGAGCATGATGCTCAGGGCTGTGTACAGCTGAGTTTTGAATACCTCCAGATACGTAGATTTTACAGCCTCTGCAGAAAACATGTTCTAGTGCTTGACCACCCTCATGGTTTAAAAAAAAAAGGGGGGGGGAGGGAGAAATTCCTTATATTAAGTAGGAATTTTGCATGTTTCAACTAGTATCTGTTGCATCTTGTCCATCCACTGTTCACTCCTTGGAAGAGTTTGGCTCTGTCTTACCTACACCTTCTCATTAGGTAGTTTTAGACAGGAGTGAGATCCTGCCAAAGCTTTCTGAAAGCTGAAAAAACCCCAGTTCTCTCAGTTTCTCCCAGTACAAAATGTGCTCTGTCCTCCTGATCACCTTGGTAGCTCTCTGCTGGACTCACTGTGGTATGTCAATGTCTATCTTGTACTGCAGAGCCCAAAACTGGACTTCAGGCTTGATCAGGTCACAGAGAATTTTAGAGGGAAATTGGCCATTACAGCTGATTCAGTGTCACGTTGGGCTGCTGACAGAAGTTTCCACTTCTTCTCTCCAAGGTGCCCCTCATGCAGCCTCCTTTGCATAAAATCTCACAATCATGCAGTTACCAGCTGTGACAGTTAGTCATTGATGTGACAGAAGCATCACCCAGACATAAAATTGAATAGCTTTCTCCTGGTTCAGGTTACTCTTCTGATTTCCCTAAGGCCATAGGCTTGCTAGATACCATGTAAGCACGTGGACCTGGAGTTGTATCAGATATAGGGTAACATGAAACTGTAAGATTCCTTGTGGAGATCTTGAGTGGGCAAGGAAGGGATGACTTCAGTTGTCAGTAGTGGGAGAAACAGTGGTGTTTACACTGATCATACTGCTTATTCCTGTAAACCTCCTCCGTGTTAAAGGAGGAAGAGATGACATGGATGAGAAAGTGGAAGAAGTGGAAATGGTTTAGGGAGGGGGTTTTTTGGTTGATTTTGAGTACGGTAGCATTATTTAAGTCAAACAGGAAAGGCTCTGGTGGTGTTACTGGCGTCAAACAAGAAAGACTCCTAGAGACGAGGAGAAACTGAATTCACAGGGTCAATTGAAGCAACAGAGAGCAAAACTCTGTATTTTCTATTAACATGTATATTTAG